CCAGCCTCTAAGCCCCCCGGCCCCGCCTGCGCCGCGCTCACAGCTCAACGGCAAAGTGCTGGCTGGCGCCCCCGTCTCGCCCACGGGCCTCCACCCGAAGGGAGTGCAGACAGCCCTGCCTTACGCCGCCTGCCTTCCCTGCCCCAGAGCACCGCTCTTACGCACGGGCGTGGCGTGCAATCCCTTCCATTTCAATGGATCAGGGCTGGATCGAGGTCCAGGCTCCATCCGCTGGGTGTGGGGGGAGCGCAGAGCCGAGGGAGGGAGCCCCCGACCCGTTACTCCTCTCCCCGACGGGAACGGATACCAGAAACGCAGACTTTGCCAGTGAGGCAGCTCTACAAAACCGCCTCCTAATAACGCGGCAGATCAACTACACAATTCCAACCCCCCAATCTCCAAATAGAGCTTGTTTAACCCCCCTCGCCCCGATTCCGCCCTGCATACAAACACCTGAGCTCATTCGCTGGGGTCACCCTGGCTCTCTCCCGAACCGTGGGTGCCGCCAACGCTTGAAAGAAAGTAGCACGGATCGAAACCGACCAAAACCAACATCCAACGACCACACATCAACTACACAATTCCAACCCCCCAATCTCCAAATAGAGCTTGTTTAACCCCCCTCGCCCCGATTCCGCCCTGCATACAAACACCTGAGCTCATTCGCTGGGGTCACCCTGGCTCTCTCCCGAACCGTGGGTGCCGCCAACGCTTGAAAGAAAGTAGCACGGATCGAAACCGACCAAAACCAACATCCAACGACCACACGAGAAAAAGAAAAGGAGGTGACACGTTTTCCGAGTCCTGTTTCCCTGAACGAATACTAATAGATAGATAGATAGATAGATAGATAGATAGATAGATATCATTTGTGTGTGTTAACGTTTGATTTTTTTAGAGAATAAAATAGATGCTATTTACAAAAAAAAAAAAAAAAAAAAAATCCAAATAACCAGCTTGTAAAATGCCAGATTGTTTGAGTGTAGTTCTTAAAAAAAAAAAAAAATTAAAAAAGGATGGAAAAGACGGACATTCCTCCTGCTGCTGCAAATTTTGGTTTATAAACCAAAAAAAGTTTGGGAGGCTTCATTAAAAGCGCCAGCCCGTGGGCGTGGGTGCGACTGTGTCTGTCGGGAGGTATCCAGAAGAGCACAATTGCAAACCAAACACACAGTGCAAAGCGGGTGTCGGTGAGGTGCAGTCCTGGCCGGAGGCGGCCGGTCCCAAGCCACCGGCTAACCACTGGCTCGCAGTCCAGGGTGCTTTTAATGAAACCCCCCGCGTTAAAGCTTTTCTCCTTGCAAAACTCTTTCGCCAGGCCTCTCGGGAGAGGGAGAGGGGGGTTCCGCCCTCGGCCCCGGGAAAGCCAGATCCAAGTTTGGTTTTTGGCATCAGCTGTGGTAGGCGCCGGAGGCGGCCGGTCCCAAGCCACCGGCTAACCACTGGCTCGCAGTCCAGGGTGCTTTTAATGAAACCCCCCGCGTTAAAGCTTTTCTCCTTGCAAAACTCTTTCGCCAGGCCTCTCGGGAGAGGGAGAGGGGGGTTCCGCCCTCGGCCCCGGGAAAGCCAGATCCAAGTTTGGTTTTTGGCATCAGCTGTGGTAGGCGCGCCGGGGGCGGGTTTATCTGCTTTTGTGTCTTTTGGTGAGATGAGGCCTTGCCGCGGGGGGAGGGGGGGTTTAAGGCGAAGAGTTATTAGAGG